TTGGGTGTGACGGGGATTCGAACCCGCGACCCTCAGATTGTGAGTCGAGTGCCCTAACCACCTGGCCATGCCGGGGCCCTACACATACAAACAAGGGATAACCTGAAGGATTATTTAAATTAGAATGAACTTTAACAAAATGTCTTACCCAAAACAATAATGTCATCAAACATTATTAACTTTTAATGCTTTGTATGCCACTGCTCCTTAATGCTTCTGTCAATGAGCATTTGTGGAGTATTTTAATTCACATGTGTTTATGATAATCTCACAACTTATAATGACAAATTCTTGGAGTTAAAACATTATAACAATATTGAAATATGCTTATTCTGTGCAAGCTCAAATGTTTGGTAAATTCATCTGTAAAGACAACTCAACTGTTTTGTGCAATGCCTAATCATTATGTCTGAGCAGCTTTTGATGATTTCAAAAATGGCAAGGGTGTGTTAAAAATAATCTAATCATATTTATGGACACAGACAGAATACACTGAATACAACATCTAATAAATACATAGGCCATTCTGAAATCTTAATCTCCCTTTTCATCCTAAGCTTAACAACATTTACCAGGCAATTCTAAACACATTTATCTACTTAAGTTTGTAGGCTTAGAAAATACATTACAGAATATTTTCGTTTTTCTTTCCTTTCCAAAAAGTAAGGCTTAATTAAAAACTAAATATCAGTTTTTTTAGATATAAGAAGAAAAAAATAAGCATACAAAGCACTGTATCTAGTGATAGAGAACAGTTAGCTTATAAACTGTTAAGCATATCTAAAATTGAATATTCATGTGAAAACAAAAAAACAAATAGATATTATACATGTACTTCTCTATCTTCAAATACTCATTATTGTAAATAAACAATCGATGACATTTCTCTAACAAATCTGCTCAATGACACCATGTGGCCATGGAAGCTGATTCCAAGCAATTCTTTATCAAAGACATCAAAAACACAAGGGGCCAAAACTATTCCAACAAGCCAATCACAGACTTAACCACTCAAATTAACTTTTGGGTATAGCTTGTCATAACTAGTGAAAATTTTTTTTCTACATCAGAGGGAGATTGTATTTAAAACTAAACGGATGAAGGAAGAATACGATACACAATTCTCATCAAGAGATCAAAAGATGTATTACAGATGTCAAACGGCTTCACATAATGCCCTTTAGAGATTCAGTAAACCCTCTGACAACAATATAAATGAGTGTTTCAGCCTGAAAACAAGTTATAACAGAAACAATGCTGGTATCACTATAAAAATATTACTTCCATTCATACAAACTGTTACTAGTACACAGTGCAAGAATATGGACTTTAAAATGTGCATTTTACACGTATACGTTGCTTAAGTTCAAGATAAATGCCGATCCCTAATTATAATCAAATGGCAGGGAAATTAAAAAATTATCATTATAAAAAGTTGTTTGTCTAGATAAACCGTTAACGAAATCCTAAATATAGCTACTTAGCAGGGAATATAGCAGGGAAATTAAAAAATTATCATTATAAAAAGTTGTTTGTCTAGATAAACCGTTAACGAAGTATATCTAAGACTTTACTGCTGATAAAACAAATCATCTATTTCTTTATTTATACAAATAAAATAAATCTATGTATCCTCAATATAGCTACTTAGCAGGGAATATAGCAGGGAAATTAATCATTATAAAAAGTTGTTTGTCTAGATAAACCGTTAACGAAGTATATCTAAGACTTTACTGCTGATAAAACAAATCATCTATTCCTTTCTTTATACAAATAAAATAAATCTATGTATCCTCAATATAGCTACTTTGTGTTAATTGAAGTAAAACACGAAGTAAATAGCCACAAATATATAAATGCGACTGATACAATTACACAAAGTATTCAAAATTTAGTGTAAATAATAAAGCCTATAAATTACCAGATGAAGCAGCTGGGTTGTTTCCAAAAGCAGCAGCAAATGAAGTATCGGGGATGAAGTTTCCAGAGGAGGATGTAGTGTAGGCAACACCTGTAAGAATAATGGTATGAAGAGATAAAAATATTTTTCAACTAATCAAAAACTCGGTTCAGTACTAACTGTACACTGGTAAAATGTTTTACCAAAACTTGCAAACCAAATTTTTGAAATTACCACATCATTACTTTTCTTGCATCATTCTACATATTTGTGATATCTTGAAAATTACCTGAGCGTTTCCCCTTTTTTGAGGTTAAATCTACGAGATCAAGTGATTTCTGTGACGTTTTCGCGATGACTTAACAAATCATTAAATTATTAATAAACTCGGTAAAAGAGCCAAACCTCTACCTCTGTGTTTATTCCACCAATATCACTCTTTTGTTCACATTATGAACAATAACATGTCTCTTATATAAACATTCATAAAAATATGTGAAATTAATTTTCATATAATGTATTTACAATATGGATGGATGTCATATTAGTCTAAAACTAATCTAACGTAATACTGAGCTTTACACTTGCATTCTAAGCACACAGTACAGCCTCAGTGCTGCATACTGTAAAAATTCTAACACTTTTGATACAACAGCAATTAAATAACACATGCTTTTCAACCACTGGAAAAACTGTGACACAAATAAAGGAAATACAAAGGGTTTTTTGAATTATGAGATTACTAATTACTAGGTATTTTGGATGTAGCTTATCTGTTTTCTTTTTGTCTTGAAAATTCCTAACAATCTTGAATTTGTTTCATTTATAAATTGAAACATTTTTTTTATGTATACTTTTAAGACAGAGTACAACAGAGGAGGTGTAGTGTGCTTTGGACGTGACATCCTTTTGCACTGGATACCATGCTGCAGAGTTATTATCAAATGCACAGTCATCAGGTAAAATATGACTAAACATGGACTGTGACAATATCACAAGGTTCCAAAATCATTTTACTTCATTTAGTTACTAAAACCAATTTATTTATTGTAACAATGAAACACCTTAACACCATTTACTTTCCATATTTCCAATTACATGGTTGATTCTGTCTATTAAGAATCTTAAGGCACATCATTTCATTAAGTCTTATAACTAAGTTTAAAGTATTGTGCCAAGAGCACAAGAATCCCACATTTTTTAAGTGTCATCACTGAAAACAGCACATTTTAAGCTTGGTAGCATGCTTGCCATTTTGACTTGTCAAATATACAAAATTTCACAGAGTAGGTCTATATTATACCAATCAAGACTTTATGGCACATTTTTTTAATAAGCTTTTAATAAGCAGAAAGTCATTAGATGGAATTCTATTAAATTCAAAGGAAGAGATTTATCTATTGTATCAGCATTGTGAGCAACTGAGACACCAGGTGTATGAATATTTTTACATTTCATTTTTGTAGGTTTACACATAAAAGAAAGTATATTTGTATATTTCATTCACATTACTGAGGAGTAATAAAATACAGAGTGTTATAATTTTCCTATATTGAAAATGTATTTCTGATAGGTACTTACCTCCTCTAACAAATATAGCTATTCTGGTTCAGTGCTGCCCTCTATATGAAAACATTTGTTTGCATGCCTTGAGCTCCCACGTACCCCCACAATTAGCATATCAACGTGATTGAACTGTGTCTCGCATGTAAATCATCATGTGACAACCCTCCACCTATAGGAGTGCGACACACCCTCCCGATGCATGTGACTCCCTCTATTTGATTATACTGAACTATCACTTTGAGTTTTGGCAGAAAATAGAAGCACCAGTTTTTAGTGGGGTGGTAAGTGTGAGAGGAGGTAAGTACCTATCAGAAATACATTTTCAGTATAGGAAAATTATAACTTCTGATGCAGTACCTCACCTCCTCTCACAGATATGGCTAGAATCCCATATTGAATAGGTGAAGGGACTGGTGTGAGGGAAAGAAAGAAGCGTCCGAAAAACATGGGAAAAGGAGAGATCCTTGCAGTAGAGGATCCAGATAGGGATATGAACCACCTGGTATTGGAAGCTCAATTCCTGAAAAGACAGTAATGTGAGTGAGAGTAAAAAAGATATGCTCGAAGGTGTAGAGTGGCTAGAGTGCGATGGACCACACACAGCAAGTCAATGGCTTCCAAAACTCTGCCATTAGGAATCGACATCCATGTGGAGGGTAGGAAAGAGGATCATACCCACCAATCTGAGAACAGGGCACATGATAATAAAGTAATAAAATGCTTTACCGATTCCGGGAACTCGACATCTGGATGATTGGAATAAGAAAGATGTTCCTGTATTGTGAAATATCTCACTCAAAACGAATCAGCCAAGAAAATCCTTGGTACATAAAAATCTTCAAGGGATAGCACAAGAGGAAGAACTGTAGGAATCTGCATGTACAACTATCGTAAACCACAACACGATAGCAGTGAACTGGAGTCCAATTGAGTGAGGGAACAGAGACACCTGTAATACATGTGTGAGGACTTATGTTTATTGGTTCAGCTCAGAATCGAAAACCCAGCCGCTGGGAACCACCATCCATGTGGAGGTCGAATGAGGGATCCCAATCAAAGGGCTGAACTGCAATTTTGATGACTCACTCCAAAGCTACAACATCCTCTCGGATAAACGTGTTCAGAGATGGAGCATCAGATTAGAAGAAATCTCATCATATGCATCCACAGAACACCACCACCCTACTACTCTCAGCTGAATGGATTCAGTATTGTTTGCCTCCACAGTCCACCATTCCAGTGGCTTGGAACTGAAAAGTGTTAAGGACTTCCATACTCCACTGCAAAAAAAAGGGGGAGAAAATGTGGTGGAGAGTCTGGAGGAACATCAACACTGGAGGCAGTGCAGTGGGTGACCACGAAAACCCTATTTTGAAAAGGAGACCACTTTTGATTTATTCAGTCTAAAGAATGGGCAGCTATCCCCATCTGCTTTATCTATAAAGTCCACGGGTTAGTATGGTCTGGAATGGGCATATTAATGAAGCAAAGATAACGCAAGGAAAAACCTATGAGCAATCTTGTGGAACACCCCATCTCATCAGTGTGTGTTTAGTGACCATGGAAATTATAATTATGAATTCCTCATGGTCTGACAGTGCAGATTTTACTAGTTTAAATATACCTACACAGGCACCACTCGCCAAAGAGCAAGATCTGTAAAAAAAAACAAATCAAAAGAGACATACCCCTGAAAAATAAGAGATACATATACAAAAAGATAACTTACCCAGTCACAGTGCCATCGAAGTTTGAAGAATGGCAACAGGTGGATGACGATAACTCAACGAGGAAGAAACAGTTACCCGATGCACTTGTCCACATCCCCGATTGAAGAATTTCCTTGAATGGATGATGGAAATGAGATGCCAGGGAAAAGGTAAGGTGCCTAATCTGGCAAGAAGACACCCAGAACAAATTACGGGAAGAATGAGACAAGGACGAATAAGCCAATCGAATGAAAAGCTGAACCCAATTGGTAAAGGTGGAAGGAGAAAGGTTACAAACATATGATAGTTGCCACTGAATGAAGAGATGGGAATGGGCACAAAGGAAGGAAGCAGTGTGGGCAATATAACAACAAAACGACACATATGGGACATAGTAGTTTATCTGGATCAGACCGGGAATATAGGAGAGGAAATGGATGGAAGGAAAACCGGCTAGAAAGAGAAATTACTCTCATAAGTTGGCAAAGTTTTGGGAAGAAAAAACGATTCGGATAGAGAACATATATGGTATGATAAAGGGTAAAATGTTGACGGCAAATAAATCTGCCCGATGACATACACAATACAAGAGGAGAAGGAAACAAGTCTTAAAGGATAAGTGAAAAATCTAACATGAGGACAGAGGTCCAAACGGAGGTAAAGCACCACACTGACATTCCAATCCTGAAGGGACTCGTGTTGAGGAGGTCAACTAATTTGGAAGGAACACAACAATACTGAAAGGGTAGGAGAGGTAAAAACTTTATGTATCAGGAGAAATAAAGAGTGTGGGATAAGGCAGCCTGGTATCCTGTGATTGAGGAGACAGTAATCCCCTGATTAAAAGGTCAAGTGAAGAAATCCATACAAGAAAAAACTTGAGCAAGTGAAAACATGAAAACCTCTGACCTAAAACAAACAATAGAAAATGTTTACTTACATTGATAAACATCCATATAGAAAGGGTGAATGGAATGTGCTAAAAACGAAGCAATTTGCCATGACAATCCAGATATCTTCGTCAAGGACCAGATAAAAACTAGGCGTGAAGATCGAGGGTAGGAAGAGTTGGATAAAATGCTGGTGACCAGGGTTGAAGTAGTAGGGATGGAATAAAAGAAAAAGATAATGGTGGGCAGACTGGAGCTGGAGCAACCACAGTTGTGCTGGCCAGTAAGGAGCAATAAGAAGGACTTGACACAGGTGGTGTAGATGATCAAAATCATACTGGGAAGAAGATGGATGGGAGGATACACATAGTTATTTGTTGGTCCAATCCTGGCTGAATGCATCAACAGCCAGTGCAAGTGGATGCAGAACTTGAGACAAAAAAATAGACGTAAATTGGTACTGAGGGATGTGGCAAATGCATCCAGGTGAGGAGTACCCCACTGAAGGCATAGCTACTGGAAAACTTGAAGATTGAGACCACTCCAACAGATAAATTTTGTCTGGTTAGGGAAAAGGATGCACAACAAGGTTGAATGCACTTGGAACATGACACGCAAGGAGACAAATACCTAGAGTGTGGGCCCAATAAAGGAAATCCAAGGTTCGACCACAAAGGGAAAGAGAATGGGTGCCACCTTGGTGATTGATTGATATAAGCTACCACCATTGAATTGTTAAAATGGATCATGACCAGACGATTCCTGGCAAGATGGAGAAAATGACTAGAAGCTCCAGGATGTTGAGATTGTAGGGCCTCTCGGCCAGAGACCACTCACCTGAAGCTTCATGCTGATTAACCCATGCCTCCCCCGGGAAGATATGCAAATCTGGATGAAGGGGAAGAAGCAGTACATCTGCCAATGTGTGGATCTTGTTCAACCACCA